CATCCATCCATCCATCCATCCATCCATCCATCCATCCATCCATCCATCCATCCATCCATCCATCCATCCGGTGTCTATCTCCAGCAGTCTCTGTGTCAGAAGTGGGGGACCCGGGACAGGTCTCCAGTTCATCACAGAAACACATAAATCCCGTGAAATGTGAAAACTTGTTTTTGTTCCATAAAATTTTTGCTCAGAGTTACATAGTGTCAGAATCTCTGCCCTCCAGTCCACAGAGAGAGTTAATGACATCATCCCTGTACTGTATGCAAATATCCTGACAGGAAACACATTAAGGTTTGGAGGTGGTTTTAGCTGAATATAATCAGCATAAGATTCAGGTAAAAACACTTCCTGTGCTGAAACCTGTCCCACCACAACGTTTCAGAGTCCTGCCTTGATTCAAGATAATATTCTAACACCTGACCTCTTACGGTAGGCAACTCCTGCACCTTTCTCTTCCTGTTTTGTTGAAATCACATATTTTCTCTCTCGGCGCTGGAAACAATCATTCCTGCTCGCAGTGATCAGCCCAGAAAACACCAGCGCCCTGACCTTTGACCTCTTTTAGTGACTGCAGTCTCTTTTAACTCCTCAGATGACCTCCACCCAAACAATACAACGACCTCAGACAAACACCTGCGATAATGACCTTTAAACAAAGAGAAGGTGAAACTGGAAGAGCTCATCTTCTCAGCCAGGTAAGGTACACATGCGGCTCTCAGTTCAGTGCTATCAGAACTATTGTGTTATTTTGTTCATGTATGTTAAAAACGTTTTGCAAATAAATAAATAAATAAACAAATAAACATGTTACTTGATCTGCTACTGTTACCTTTACACATATATATGAATATGTATATAATAACGTAAAAACACAGGTGGCAGAAGCTGCAAAAGTTGTGGTAAAATCTTGAGGGTTTTGTTCAAATAAATGCTGAAGATCAGACGATGCTCTGTAGCTGAAAGCACGAGTTCTCCCACACAGTAACATCAGCCGAATAAACAAACCTTTAGCCTCGCAGAGCATCAAATATCCAGAGTACGTCTGAGTCAGCAGGTTTTAGATTTACACCAGAGAGTGAGACATAAAGATTATCTGACAGATTAAATTATACAGCTGCTGCTGGAAACCTGAAGGATTAAACAAAAACAAAATCAGAAACGCGAGCCGACGACAGCTGATAAATCCGAGCGGGAGCAGCTTTAAACCCACGTTACGCCGCTGTCACCCCAACAGTTCATCTTGTAGGTCCAGGCGGAAGACGTCAGCGCAGCAGAGTTAGAACCAGAACCAGTTTCAGATTAGTGAGGTGGACACTACAAGAACTGAAGTCCTGATTTATTCCAAGCAGACGTTGGATGTGACCATCTGGAGTAACCGAGCTGGACCCGAACACTCGGGAGTCCAGCAGCTGAACCAGGTCTGACAAACATACAAGGTTCTGTAGCACAGATCCAAATTTTGATAGCTGCTCGTTTGTTTGGATTAAACTCTTTAACTTGGCTCGTTTTGTTTGATGAAAAAGAACCAGCCTGCAGAGCTGGGTCAGAACCAGACCGGTTTGTTCATATGGTGGCTAAAAGACTAGCTTTTAAAGGAGCGGCTCCTCTTCCTCCTCTGCAGCCCCTCATCAGACAGACCTCCTGCAGTCACTCATTAAGGTGGCGCTCGGTGGGCTAAGAGTCTCCAGGATGTCTACAGATTTTCTTTAGATTGTGTCCAGGATGTCTCACACCTTTTTCATGGTTCTCGACCTCCTCGCGTGAGTCTCAGAGGTGTGCAGTTCCAAACATGTTCAAACAGTGTGTGCAACAACGTTTTCCTCCCACCAGTCCCAGAGTCTTTGAAGGCGTCTCCAACTGGTTTTTACACTCCTGCACCGCAGCTCTCCACATCCAGGTCTAAAAATCCACAGAGATTATACACAATACCTAAAAACTGCTCCCAATCTGTCTACCTTCATTTAGAAAGTGTACTCCAGGAGATTAAATGCTGCATGTGGGGGTGGCTGCTGAACTGGGTACAAAGCTGACTGTGGAGGGGAAAGATATTGCACGGCACGTTACGTGAACGTAACTACCGGTAGTCTCCCAGTGAGTCCCAGCTCAGTGGTCCAAATCTCTCTGCCTTCTCCCTGTCTTTGTCCCTGCCCTCTCTCCTGTCCTCCACCAGCACTTGTCACTCTGTCCTTCATGTCTCTTTCCACCTGAGCTGATGTCTTTTTTGTTCTCTGCATCACGTTACTCTTTATTCTCACTTTCTCAGGATCCGTTGTCGTCCCTTCCTTCCATCTTATCTCACTGTCCTTGTCTCTATTTTTGCCCCTCTGTCGTGTTCTGTTTGTTAGCAAAATATTTAAAGAACCAGAGGACAAACTTTATTCAAAGTTTCATAAAGCAATCACTTTATGTACATCTACAACAAATTTACTTTTAGAGCCAGCCTGATTAAAGATGGCTGCCACAGCTAATCTACCTTCTCATTCAACCTTTATTTATACAGGTTAGGCTCATTGAGTTGCGGGGTTCAATACTGATTTAAAACTGGTTGTGGTTGTAGCTGAGCACTGAATGATCTTTGTTAAAGGCAGCAGACAGTTTATTGTATTATTGTTTTTGGTAAATGTAAATTAAAAAAACAAGTAAACAACAAAAAGCCATCTTTCCATAAAAATGTAGAGGTGAAGATTTGAGGACAAACGGGTGTTTTCAATGTTTCAAATGGAGTTCCATTTAGCATGAAATCTCTAAAATGTCATTATGTTATTGCTTCATTTATTAGTTTTTTTCTTAATGACAAATGAATTCTGTCCCACAGTTCTTTTTATCTGCAGGATTCAAGGCAAGGCCCATCCAGTTTGACCCCAGGACTGAGTTGCTTTCACTGAAACTTTATTTGTCCCCCATCAAAAAGCAATGAGGGGACGTGTTAATAACCTCTGTATTCGGCTGTGCATGTTGTGAGCATGATAAATTAAAAAATAACTGAAGTACCGACTTCCTTTTTCCTTTTGGTGTGTGGCTGCATGTAGGTGTAAGAAAGGCCATTACAGCACTATCTTTTGAAACTATGCTTTCTAATTTTTACATTGCTTAACAGTATACGCTTCCTAAAATGATGGGGGTGACCAAAGATTAATCTATGATGGTCAAGGCCGCAATTATAATAAAGTGGCTAAAACTGCTCCCTCCACTTGCTAGGATCCATCACTCAGCGCTGCCTTGGACAGACAAAAAGAAAAAAAAAATCTACCTCTGTATTTTTACATGTTATATCCCGGACGAGCCCCCATTTATGTTATGATCCGTATGTCTAGGAGTGACTCACAGGACGCACAACATATGTAATTCAAATTGCAACGTTTAAATAAAATATTTTAATCCACTTGCACAAGCGTTAGTTGTGTACAGTATGTACCGCAAACTCCCGCAATATAGCAAAAACTGCGATACAGAATTGGAAAAAACCTGCAAAACTGTGAAGCCACAAGCGAACCATAATATTGCGAGGTACAACTGTAAACACAATCAACTGAATAGAAAAGGAGAATGGGAGCTTCAGCTTAAATAAACAAAAGAGGGAGACGTCCCAAACCAGCCAGATGTCGACCATTCAGGCCGCTTTTCTCACCCTTCGATCCAAGATCTAACCCTACAACCAAAATCTGCCAAAATGTAAATGTTTGTGGTGCAAACCAACGTCCCAGCCTGAAGTCAAGCATTGCTCCATGAGTCTG